AGAGTCAATGGGAGAAAAAAAAGGGGACATATGTAATACTTTCAACAATAAAGATTAAAAAAAGAAAAAATTTATTTTACATAGACCATAGATCTAAACATAAAAGCTAAAGCTATAGATCTTCTAGAGGAGAAATGGAGAATATATTTCTGAAGACACCAAAAGCACTAATCATAAAAGAAAAACTTGATAAATTGGACTTCAAAATTAGAAAATATCTTCTCATCAAATGATACCATTAAAAAAGTGGAAAGGCACCCTAGCTGGTTTGGCTCAGTGGATAAAGCATCAGCATGCAGACTGAAGGGTCCTGGGTTCGATTCCAGTCTAGGGCAAATGCCTGATTGTGGGCTCAACCCCCAGTAGGGGGTGTGCAGGAGGCAGCAGATCAATGATTCTTTCTCATTTATGTCACTCTCTCCCTCTCCCTTCCTCTCTGAAATCAATAAAAACATATTTAAAAAATAAAATAAATAAATAAGTGTAAAGGCAAGTCACAGTCTAGGAGAAATTATTTCCATAATATATCTAATATAATTAATATTCAGAATATATGAAAAACTATAAACCAATAATTAAAAACAATGAAAAGTATTAAAGGGGACAAAATAGTTGCACACTTCACAAAAAAAGATATTGGAATGGTCAATAAGTATGTGAAAAGTTGCTTAATCATCAGGGAAATGTACATTAAACTACATGTTGTATTACTACAAACTCACTAGAATGGCCAAAATTTACAATTTTAATAGCAGTAACTGTTGGCCAGAACTTTGAGCACCTAGAATTCTTATACATTGCTGGTGGGATAAAGTGGTACAGTTTTTTTAAACTTTTGGCAGTTTTAATTTAATTTTTTAAAAATTGTCATTGATTTGAGAGAGAGAGAGAGAAACATCGATTGGTTGTTCCACTTTTTTATGCATTCATTGGTTGATTCTTGTATGTACCCTGACTGACTGGGGATCAAACCTGCAACCCTAGCACAATGGGCCATTGCTCCAACCAACTGAGCTACCTGGCAAGGGTGGCAGTTTTAATTTTATTTATTTTTCATTTTTAAATAGATTTTTGTTGTTGATAGTATTAGATATCTCCCATTTTCCCTCCGTTCCCCCACTCCTCTCAGTCCCTACCCACCCCCCACCCCCAGGTCTTCACCACCCTATTACCCATGTCCATGGGCTATGCATATAAGTACGTAAGTTCTTTGGTTTATCTCTTCTCATTCCCTCACCCCTCATCGAAGTATGTCAGTCTGTTCCATGCCTCCCTGCGTTGGGTCTTATTTTGTTGGTCAATTCATTTTGTTCATTAGATTCCACAAATAAGGGAGATCATGTGATATTTGTCTTTCTCAGTTTGGCTTCTTTTACTTAGCATAATATTTTCCAGGTCCATCCATGCTGTGCCAGTTTTAATTTTATACCAACACCTACTATATGACCCAGTCATTCTACTCCTAGGTATTTACCCAAGAGATATATCCACAATTGTCCACAAAAAGACTCGTACAAGAATGTTTTCAGCCCTAGCCAGTTTGGCTCAGTGGAAAGAGCTTAGGCCTGCGGACTGAAAGGTCCCGGGTTCGATTCTGGTCAGGGGCACATGCCTGGGTTGTGGGCTTGAACCCCAGTGGGGGGCAGGCAGGAGGCAGTCAATCAATGATTCTCTCATCATTGATGTTTCTATCTCTCCCTCTTCCTTCCTCTATGAAATCAATAAAAATATATATTAAAAACACGTTTTCAGAGCTTGTATATGTACATCAATTTAAATTTTATTTTTAAAATAATGAATATGAATAAATATATTTTTACATAAACAAAAATTACATTTATCACCAGCATAAATAAAGTAAATGAACTTCTAAAAGATGTCAAAGGAGAGGGAAATTATTTCAATGCAAGAAGGGGTAGCAAACAACAAATTCTAAACACATAGCTAAATCTAAACAAAAACTGTTTCTATAAATACTAATACTCTTAATTTCAGAAGTGTAAAATATTTGACCACCAGACTATACAAGTTGGTTAGAAATGCCCTTGTAATTTAAAAATGTAAAAGTGTCCTAAGTTCCTAATGTTATTTTGGAAGGAAGAGTAAGATACTAACTTTAGGTTTTGATCATTTTGAAGAATAACTAGTAAAACAAGAGAAATAGAATGCATCACCTCCAAAATATTGAATTGGAGAGATCTCAACAGTATTGCATGTTTATTTTACTTGGAAGATGTGGATGATTTTGTTCCGGTTGTAGAGAGATGACCATTTTTTTCCCCCACCACTGAATTCCAGTGGTTTTGCTTCAGTACTTCTACATGAATTGTACCTACTTGGAAGAAAGATAGATATGTAAATCTTCCTACACTCATCCATGTTACCACTGCCTGCTTCCACTTCCATGGTCAAGCTATATTCTCTGCCTGTAATATCCAACTTCTGTCTATACATCTACTAGTTGAGATTCTCCTTATCATTTGATACTCATTGCCCTGAATCTTCCATCCCTGAATTAATCATTCCCTCCTTTGACCCCTACATAGTGCTTTGTGCTTTCTTATCTGTTTATATGTTTGTCTGGAATAGCTTTTCCTTACTCCACTGACGATCTATCTATTTTTTAAATCTTAGCATTAAACTTAGGCATCACTTCCTTGGGAAGTTGTCCTTGAAACTCCAGGCTGAGTGACCTGCCTCTTTGGCACTGATCACAGTTGGGTTTGTTAAATGAATGAATAAAAGGATTGCTGAATAGCTATCAGAACCTAGTTGTGGTTTCACAACACGGGTTTGTAGAGGACCAGGTCTGCACAGATCTGTGTCTTTCTACAAGGATGAAAATGTTCGAATTAGTTTTTCTTCCATGGGAGACCAACAGTGCACAACAGATGTACACATTGTAAAACTCAGTTCTAACACTGGTCCTGCCTCCAGTGACTGCACATCTCTACCGAGGCTCTGAGGAGCAACAGTTCAAACATACCTAATGTTCTGTGAGTAGAGTGGGAGGTTTGTTGGTCTCTAAGTCTTGCCGGGTATAATCCATGGATGGAAGTGATATTGGGAAAGGAGCTCCCACTGAAGCTGGAATCTATGAATTCGAATGGAAAAGAAAACAAAAAGTGAAAACTTAATTAGTATTTAATTGCTCTCCTAATACAATAGCACCAAGAGGACAAGTAGTTCCTCTAGTCTAGAGTAATTATTACATTTGATGGATGTCAACTGAAAGGAATGTTAAATGTCAAATACGAGAGAGTGAGAGAGAGAGAGAGAAATAGATCTGTGAAGTAGTTGCTAGTGATAACGAGTGAAGTGAGAAGACCTAAAGAATAGTTCTTGGCCGAAACCGGTTTGGCTCAGTGGATAGAGCGTCGGCCTGCGGACTGAAAGGTCCCGGGTTCGATTCCGGTCAAGGGCATGTACCTGGGTTGCGGGCACATCCCCAGTAGGAGATGTGCAGGAGGCGGCTGATCGATGTTTCTCTCTCATCGATGTTTCTAACTCTCTATCTCTCTCCCTTCCTCTCTGTAAAAAATCAATAAAATATATTTAAAAAAAAAAAAAAAAAGAATAGTTCTTGAAAAGCAGGAACTCTTTATGAAAAAGAAAACGCCTACATCTCCAGGCCAATAATCCTCATGGGAAAGGGAAGGAAGGGAAGTTTATAGGTAGACATGGAACATGTTAAGTATATAATGGTATGTATGTATCTTTGATGAAATATTTTAGTTACAGGTTATGTCAGTTCATATGAACATGTAAAAGTTAAATGTGAAGGCCCAATTGGTGTGGCTCAGTGATTGAGCGTCGACCCATGCACCAAGAGGTCGCTAGTTCGATTCCAGTCAGGGCACATGCCTGGGTTGTGGGCTCAATCCTCAGTAGGGGGCGTGTAGGAGGCAGCCGATTGATGATTCTCTCTCGTCATTGATGTTTCTATCTCATGCTCCCTCTCCCTTCCTCTCTGAAATCAATAAAAACATATTTTTAAAAATTTCATTTTCAAATGATCTGAAAAAAATTATGATAAAAAGGTGAACATTTGGTAATTCAAGATGCTGAAGTACGAATGTTTGTTATCCTATCTACTTTCCTGTATTTTTTACATTTTTCCAAATTGACATGAACAACAAAGTGAATTGGTGGTGAGATTTGCGGACTGGATGACTTCAGAGCTTCCATTATCTGTGTTACATCCCATGAAATTGATGCAATGCATCACAGCTATAAAAAAGAACTGGTGACTGCAAACAATGTTTAACTATGTAAAGAAAAATTCTAAATTATGAAAACATTGTCAAACAGGCAGAACAGAAATAATAGACTAAAATTAGTTAGAGAAAAGTTGGATAAAAAGCTCAAAATCAGAAAAGTGCCAGATATTCCACCTGTATTAATAGTTTCTCCCATGGAAGTCTTGCACAATAAGAAAAAAAAATCAGCCTTATTAATGTCCACTTACTTTTTACCTGCTTGATGCAAAGTGGAAGTGATCCCAAACAGCAAATGGCAAGTTAAACAAAACAAAATCAAACAACAAAAAAACCTTTGCAAAAAGAAAGGAAATATGGCAGCAAACAGTAGCTCATAACTCTTGGTATAAACCAAGAATGTAAATTCAGTTATACTTGAATCTCTATTATGTGCATATTAGTTATTCCTATTTTGGATTATCTATTAATTCTGGAATAGTTTTCCACTTACATCCCTCCTCTTCCACATTTCTAGGGTCGCTTTCTGTATTCCATTTAAATATCTCACAGAGCCTTTGTGAAAAAGAGGGCTATATAGCCCAACTGGTGTGGTTCAATGGTTGAGCATTGACCTATGAACCAGGAGGTCAAAGTTCAATTCCCAGCCAGGGCACATGCCCAGGTTGTGGGCTTGATCCCCAGTGTGGGGCATGCAGGAGGCAGATGATCAATGATTCTCTCTCATCATTGATGTTTCTCTCTCTCTCTCTCACCCTTTCCCTTCCTTTCTGAAATCAATACAAACATATTTTTAAAAATACAAAGAAAAAGAGGGCTATTTCTTTTTCCAATGCAAGGAAAGGATATGGAAGAATTACCTTCCATTTTAAATTAGAGGCCCAGTGCATGAAATTCATGCACTCGGAGGGATCCCTTAGCCTGGCCTGCACCCTCTCGCAGTCTGGGAGTCCTTGGGGGATGTCTGACTGACGGGTTAGGTCCACTCCCCACCTAAACCAGCAATCAGACATCATTAGCACTGCCGTGGAGGCAGGAGAGGCTCCTGCCACTGCTGCTGCATTTGCCAGCTATGAGCCCGGCTTCTGGCTGAGCGGCGCTCCCCTTGTGGGAGTGCACTGACCACCAGGGAGCAGCTCCTGTGTTTAGCGTCTGCCCCCTGGTGGTCAGTGCGCATCATAGTGACCGGTCATTCTGACATTTGGTTGATTTGCATATTAGCCTTTTATTATATAGGATCATGTTGTTTTCTGTTAGTGCAAGCCATGGGGAGTTTTAACTCTATCTCCCACTTTTGATATATTAAAAGGTTTTTTTCTTACCACTCCATACACAGGCTCTTGCTCTGAATTCACCGGACAGGATACTGGAATTGGTACCTTGAAGCAAAGTGTCAGTTACTATATAGTACAGTTTCTACTTATATTCAATAAGAAATATTATAAGATATAGAAAACATTCTATCTATGTAATATTGAGAAAAAATATAGCGAATAGTTCCTAACCAGAACAATGGTGTTTCCCTGAGCATGAGAAATTTAGGAGTTTTAAGGACTTCTCATTACTGGTATGTTGTGTTGGAAATCATAGCAGACTTCACAGGAGCTCAACTTCCCTGAGGAGTGGGAATTTGCTTGGACAACATTACACACCCAAGAGAAATATGGCCTTGTAGATCAGGGGTCCTCAAACTACGGCCCGCAGGCCACATGCGGCCCGCTGAAAACATTTATCCGGCCCGCCGGGTGTTTTTGCCACCGCTGCCTGTCCTGCTTAGCAGCCGACTCGTCCCGGGCCCGCAGTGCGCATGTGTGGAATGTCTGAGGGACAGTGAACTGGTCCCTGTTTAAGAAGTTTGAGGACCTCTGTTTTAGATAATAAAGAAATAGTTATGACTCTCCTTTTCATGCCGTATAAATAAGATAATAACATTAGTAAACAAAAGAAAAATTGTCAACAACAATCTCACTACCTCCAACAAATAAAACCTTCTTAATTTTTCAATGTTCCTTCCAGTCTTTGGTTATGACATCAGTTGGGTATATGAGATAATGTGAAAAATAAAGAGAATTTGGCTTTCATCACAGCAGACAAAAGTAGTGACATACAGTATTTAGTGCTATGAGTGTGATGTCAAATTATGCCTGGCTTTCAACCCTGATTTAGCCTCCTTGTCTATACCAGTCACAACTTTAATCCTGGTCTTAGTCTCTTTGTGTACTGCTAAGTGATGTAATATGAGAGACAGCAGTGGTCTTTGACCTTAGACTTATCCCAGAGTGCTAGAGACTGGCCAGAAGGACTTGAACAAAGAGGCAAAAATACATTTTTAAGCTTGGCCAGCGTGGCTCAGTGGTTGAGCATTGACCTATGAACCAGGAGGTCATGGTTCGATTTCCGGTCAGGGCACATATGCCTGGGTTGCAGGCTCAATCCCCAGTGTGGGGAGTGCAGGAGGAAGCTGATCAATAATTCTCTCTCATCATTGATATTTCTCTCTCTCTCTCCCTCTTCCTTTCTCTCTGAAATCAATAAAAATACATTTAAAAATACATTATTACTATCAATCTTTCAGATCGTTCCCAAAATATTCTTATACCTTGGCTCCTCATTCTGCTATAAACATTTTTCTCCATTTTTGATACATATTTTCTAAACCAAATTGGTAACTGTCTCATAAATAATTTCTATTCTCAGAGCTTGTGCTTTATTTATTTTTTTTAATATATTTTATTGATTTTTTACAGAGAGGAAGGGAGAGGGATAGAGTGTCAGAAATATCGATGAGAGAGAAACATCGATCAGCTGCCTCCTGCACACCTCCTACTGGGGATGTGCCCACAACCAAGGTACATGCCCTTGACTGGAATCGAACCTGGGACCCTTCAGTCTGTAGGCTGACGCTCTATCCACTGAGCCAAACCGG